GGCACAATAGAATCCCCAGGCCGGACTAATTCATGCTTTGCGCTTTGCGGGAGGGAGGGGGAAACAGGGGGAACAGTGTCCCAAGATCTACATATGGCCAGGTCAGTCCCACTCCCCGCAGGCCGATTCATTCCTCCCCTGCTCCCCCCATCAATATTACAAGAATCTTTCCACATACCTATTCTAAAGTCTCATTTTGGGGCTGTTTTCTCATGGTTACTGGATTTTTTCCAGATGCTTAGAGCCTTCAAGGAGTCAGTGGAGATGAGAGAACTCACACCTCACAGAATTGGGCTCGATTGCTCTGATCCTGCAGAAATTTATACATATGCATAAGTCCTTGCAGAACTCAGGACTATATGAATAATCCATGAGGAAATGGAACAGACACCCTGATTGTGTAACTTACACACAAATATAAAATCAGCATCAATGCTTTTACTCTATCCCTTTTCTTGTGCCTAAAGCACTTCAGGAACATAAGAGCAATAAGTGGTCTAACATGCTGCATCTGCTGTTCTGCAGCACCTGGGTGTTATCAGCACAGAAGGCTCAACTCCACTACACTGGGGATCAACACTGCAGCAATTGATCCACCAGCTGTTGATTTATTGCATCTGATTATGCGCAATAAATTGATCTCTGAGCACTCTCCCGTCAATGGTGGTACTCCACCAGGATGAGAAGCGTAGCTGGTATTGGCAGCTCCCGCCGACCTTACCATGCACAAGAGGCCACGGTAAATACATTGACTTCAAATACTTCTATTTGTGTAGTTGAGGTGATGTAGACTAGATCAGTGGTGGGGGCTAGTGTAAACTAGGCCAGTAGCACTAACATAACTTGAAAGCTGCCACTTAATTCTTTAGTAGTTAAAGAATAAAGTGGTAGCTTGCAAGTGACTTTATCAGTTTACAAATAATATGTTAATTAACAAATTGATTTACCTATGTTAACACCCCCAGCAGATCAGTCAAAGTAAAACCATTTTTTAAAATTCCAATGTACTTATCACTAACTGTGCTTAGTTTACTTTTTGCATTTCTTTCAGCTTTTATTGTTTCAACTTTGTAACATGGCAGAAAGTGGGCTGGCCCATTGGCAGTATTCCTCAGTGGGTCTGAAGCCCCAAGCTCCATAAGGCACCTCATGTGAGGCTAAAGCAGTGAGCCCCTGCAGGTATGCCCCGGCTCTTGGATTTCTGAAAATTGTCATGCAGCTCAGAGGGTCAGCAAGTTTGGCTACCTCTCTGATACAGGCACTCCTGAATGAGAGGAATGAAGTGAGGGGACAGGTTAATTTGAAGATATAGAGGAAAATATGGTGAGCAGTATAGGGTTCTCAAGGAAGACGGGAGCCTCAGGTTTTAGTGAATTGATTTTATTAAACGATTGGAACATTGAATGCAGCTGGATTTTGTTTCTCACTTAGGGTATGTCTAGACTCCATGCCTCTGCCGACAAAGGCATGTAAAATAGGCTACCCAATATAGTCAATGAAGCGGGGATTTAAATATCCCCGTCTTCATTAAAATAAAAATGGCCACGGCGCTGTGCCGACAATCAGCTGATCCGGCACGGCGCGGCAGTCTAGACGCGGATCGGTCAACAAGGGAAGCCTTTGTCGACCGCTCCTGTAAACCTCATTTCACAAGGCGTAAGGGAGTGGTCGACAAAGGCTTCCATTATCGACCGATCCGTGTCTAGACTGCCACGCTATGCTGGATCAGCTGACTGTCAGCACAGCGCGACGGCTATTTTTATTTTAATGAAGTGGGGATTATTTAAATCCCTGCTTCACTGACTATGTCGGGCCAACTAGTTTACATGGCTCTGTCGATGGAGCCATGTATCTAGACATACCCCAGGAGATCAGGTCCAGTCAGCCCCATATTCTCCCCTTCTTTGTGTGTTCTAAGACCTGGGGAGCCTGAGCCTCTTGCCTTTCAATATGTGCCAGGCTCATCACCCATTTATGAGAGCCAGACCCACGTCTAAGGATTAGCTATCTCCTCCAAGTGGAATCACACAGGGCTGCAGCTACCAGACTGTGTGGGCTACTAACAGCCCTATGGGACATATTGCTTTACTAGAGGAACTGAGTGGCAAGGATGACAAAGGACAATCCCTTCCTGCCCCCATTTATCTCCTTGCCCAGACCCCAGTCACTCCTTCCATAGTTAATAATAATAACCCCCATAAGCTGCTGAGATGCTAAACTGAGAAGCTGTAGAGCTGGGATCCCCCACCCAGAGCCGGGACAAGGCTGCTTCTCCACTGGGTGATGGAGGCTGTTTATACTAATGAATCAGCACATTAGGAAAAGCTGCCCCCCAGAGCTAACTCTCAGTCCACAGCTAGGAGTGTGGGTGACACTGGTAAGTCCAGTAGAGAGCTCAAGTGAGTCCTGCTAAGCATCAGTGAGATGCAGCCATATCCTGGGTGGGGCAGCAATTTGAACAGGGAGCTTTGGGGGTGGGGTGGTTGTTGATACAGGGATGTGCTACCTCTGGAGTGGGCCACACGGGGCTGGATATACAGTGAGCACTCAGCCATTGCTGAAGGCACTCAATGCAAAATGCTTTAATCATTCTCCCCTCATGTAGCTGGCACTGGAGGAGCTGGTGGAAACAAGGCCAGGGGACACAGGCAGGCTGTGTCTGGAAGTTTTAACTACCCAGGATGGCCCAGCTGCCCCTGATATAAGGAGAGTGGAAGATGATGAATTCGGTAGAAGGGTAATTACAGGGATTGATCCAAACCTTTTGAGGTTTGTCCAGCCTGGAGGTGTGAGGGAATCAATTCCTTGGAAGTAGTGCCAATGGCAGCTCTCTGACATTATTGCAATATCATCTGGGTTAGTGTAGATGGTCCCCAGTATAGCCAGGCTGCAGGTGCTGGGACAGACTGCTCTGAGGAATTCATGTTATTAGAGCTAGGACCTGCTCAGGGAACACAGCTCTGGGTCCAGTACTAGCTGGGTTACTGTGGATGGGACCATTGTGGGCCCCAGGCAGGTACATCCTCCAGGAGTTGTCTCAGCACTCCAGCCTGAGGGGTCATAAGCCACAGTCAGTGTTCACATGGTCGCTGTAGTGTAGAAATGTCCTGTGATGTCTGTCCTGAGCCTGCTCTTGACCTCCCCTGCAGACCATGCCGTGCCCCACCCCAACCCTCCTTGCCCTCCTGAGCCTGCTCTCCGTGGCTGGCGCTGTGGGTCTGGGGGAGCTGTGCCCGTCTGAGATTAATAAGATCAAGGACCGACTGGAGGTCAACTGCTCCGGGCAAGGGCACAGGGAAGTGCCTCTTCCCCTGCCCAAGAACACCAGCATCCTGCTGCTCAGCAAAAACCTCCTTTCATCCGTCTCCACTGCCTCCTTCCAGCACCTCCCTGAGCTGATTGACCTGGACCTGTCATACAACGGGCTGAGCGCACTGCAAACTGGGACCCCCATGCCTTTGCTGCAGGAGCTAGTCCTGTCCCACAATGCGCTGGAGGTGCTACCCTCACTACGGGGCCTGCCTGCTCTCACCCACCTGGCCCTGGCTCACAACAATATTACACAGCTGGCGCCAGGGCACTTCCGGGATGTGAAGCTGCTGAAGGAACTGAATCTACGGGGGAACCGGCTGCGGACACTGCCAGAAGAGATCTTTGAGGGCCTGGCTAAATTGCAGGACCTGGATCTGTCCGATAACACCCTGGAGGAGCTGCCACAGGGGCTGTTGGCTGGGCTGGAACTGGAGACGCTGCGACTGTCAGGAAACCAGCTTCGCACTCTGCCCAGTGGCTTCTTCCCAGAGGAGCACATGTTCGCCTATGTCTTCCTGGCAGGGAATCCCTGGCGCTGTGACTGTGACCTGGCCTATCTGCAGGGCTGGATCTCTGATAATGAATTCAGTGTCTACAGGCAGGAGCAGCGGGCAGATGGGCTGCTGACTGAGAACGATCCCCGCAGCCCTGTGTGCGATACGCCCGATAAATACAGAGGGAGCCCCGTCCTCGACTTCCAGCAGACCTGCAGACAAGCAGGGGACGTGGACACCAATGGGGAATTGGAAGAGCTTGAAGATTTGAATAAGGCTGTGTCCTCCAGTACTGTCCCCTCCACCACCTTGCTCCTGTGCCTGCCACTACTGCTCCCTCCGTCACTCTGCCCCAACCACTTCTGAGCACCCCACTATAGTCCCCTCCACCATCCTGCACCCAACTACACCGAAGGAGCCCCGTCCTTGATTTCTAGAGTATCTGCAGCCTAGAGATGCAAGTGCCTAGTCGATTACCCGATAAGCAAATGCTTATTGAATTGTTGAATAGTGACTCGACAACTCCCTCCCTCCCCGCCTCCCGGAAAAGAAAGCTTCTCTGTCTACTCCCCACTCTGCTCAGCCTGCAAATCACTTGCCCTAAGGATAGATTAAAGCTGGCATCCCCTAGAGAGGAATGCCTCCATGTCACACTCCCTGGTGCCCTGAGCCAGCCAGTCTCCCACCTGGGGCCAAATGGAAGCTGAGGGCAATGCCCCCTATGGGGGAAAAATCATTCAAATGCACCACTAAACTGTGGAGCACTTTTGGATTTCTATTTCTGGTGTAACTAAAGGTGTGTCTACACTGCCGGGGTTATCTTGAAATAAGCTATGCAAATTGAGCTACATCAATTGCATAGCTTATTTCAAAATACTTTATTTCGAAATAGAGTGTCTACACAGCACTTACTTTGAAACAGAACACTTTCTCTGACTTCCCTTATTCCTCATACAATGAGGGTTACAGAAGTTGGAGTAAGAAATCCTCCAGCTTGATAATATTTTGACACTATTTCGAAATAACTGTCCGCTGTATAGATGCGGACTAAGTTATTTCAGAATAGTGCTAGTTATTCTGAAATAGTGTTGCAGAGTAGACTTACTCTAACACACACACACAAAATAATCCAAACCCCATTTCATATCGGGAGAGCTCAGCCAGGGTGAATTTTCAAATAGTCTTAAAGAGAAGTCACAGATGGTTTTGTGAGGAGTGTAATGTTTCAGAGACAGAGCAAACTACAATCCAAGGCTGTCTACTTTGACAAGATTTTGCACAAAAGCACTTGCTTTTGCGCAAAATCTTGCTTACCTGTCCGAGTATTTGCACAAGAACACTGACGTTCTAATTTGTGAAATCAGCGCTTCTTGCGCAACTACTCTGACGCTCCCACTCAGGGATGAGTCCTCTTGCGCAAGAGGCCAGTATAGACAGGTAACATCAATTTCTTGTGCAAGAAAGCCCGATGGCTAAAATGACCATCGGAGTTTTCTTGCGCAAGAGAGCATCTACACTGGCACAGATGCTTTTGTGCAAAAGCAAATATTTTGCGCAAAGGCACATGCCAGTATAGATGCTCTCTTGCGCAAATACTCTAACGCAAGAGTTTTTGCGTTAAAAAGTATTTGCACAAAATCATGCCAGTGTAGACATTGCCCCTATGTTTAAGGGGTTTTGCTGTATGGTAGGGTAATCAGTGATACAGTTTAGCAGCCAACCACACATCCTTCTTTGAAAGAAAAGAAACCATGTAATATGAGAAGGGGAGATCAAATCAAAAAATTTGCAACAAAAGTCTTTTCTGACATTAAATAAAAATGGAGACCCAAGACCGGGGGGGTCAGCCCCAGGGCAGGCATGCCCTGGTTTCCCTGGGGGGGGGGGGAGATATGCAGGGGACTCTCTGCCTCCACTGGCACCCCACTCCCCAGTCCCCACTCCCCTGTCCCTAGCTACAGAACTCTGTCCCCATTCCCGTCCCCACTCCCTGAACTCTGTCCCCACTGGCACCCTGTCCCCTGCTGCAGAACCCTGTCCTCTGCCCTCCCAGCACTCTGTTCCCTCTCCCCTGCCCCCCCAGCCGCAGAACTCTGTCCCCACAAAATGTATAATTATAAATGTTTCATTTTAGATTTAAATAGCATGAATAAAAGACCATTTATTTCATAACTATAAACACGATTTTAATTGTATGTATTGCATAATTTAAAAATAAACTGTTTATCAGAGTGTGTAAGTAACAGCTGGGGATAGCAAGTGATGGACAGGAGGAGAATAGAGAGGGCGGGGCTTCAAGGAAGGGGTGGGGCGGTAGATCTTCGCCTGTTCTGAGATTTAAAAAGTGATCTTGGGTGTAAAAAGGTTGGACCACTGGTCTAACATATGACAGGTCTCTGGTTTGAAATAAAGCAGAGATTATACATTTTCTTTTATCTCTTTTCCAGTGGGTCTTGTTTAAAATGTAGTCTAGTATTTAATGTTTCCCCAGCTAATTAAATACAAATCACATTTACATATGGGAAGTATCATGACTATCCTAAATGGATGGACAACATGTTAGTCCCTCTTGCTCAGTTCATGGTTTTTATAGTGGTGTGGATAAATCCCTGTAATATTATATTTTGTATTAAGATCTTGTCCTTTTAGATACATCTTTGTTATGTGTTCTTATAGAATCTCTAACATTTCTCCTATAACTTTGTATTAAGATATATAGATCTTGTAAGGAAAAAAAAATGTCTTTTGAGCTCTCCCCTTTCCTTGATTGCCCTGTTTGAAATGACTGAGGTGTGAATGGAGAATGAAAGGTGAGCACCTCCAGCAGCAGTTGCAAGGGTGGAGAAGGTCTGGGAGCCGGAGCCAGATCCAAGACAATACCTGCAAAGTGAGCTCATTAAGAAGACTGGACATACAGATGCCTTGGAAGTCAAGCAGCAAGTGCCTGCCCTTGGAAGAACTCTCTTTGAAGCAGCATTAAGAAAGGCCAGTTGATGACTAATTGGCTGCATGAGAGGGATAAATAGGAGGCATCTTGCAGAGGGACCCCAGGTTTTCGTCTTGTCAACATGGGAGCATCCATCCGGATCCGCAGAAGCCCGGCTCCACCCCCTCCCCCATCTAACTCACCTGGCCAGTGCAGTTAGGGGGAGCAACTTTTGGTAACAACAAGATGGAGTGTGTTTGTGTGTGTGTGAGTGCATGAGTGTGATGTATCATATGCATATGATACAAGTATTGATTATTCTATGTGTGATAAATAAATGTGGTGTGTTGCCTTATCCCTCTGAAAAAGATCCCGAATACTTCTTTTAAGTACAACAGTAGTTGGTAGCAAGATGAATTATTCTGATGGGCGACTGTAGATAATATGTCCTGGTTGTGTTCCCACAGTAACATTCACAGATGATCATCATCTCTCATCTTCGGTAGGAATAAACTTCTACCATTTAGACCTGGACTTGGAAACCAAGCCTTTAATATCAGGAAGCACAAGTTTACAATTTATATAAGATTCAGTAATCCTTCAATTTAGTGTCACAATAACAGAAATTGCTTTATCCTTGTAGTTCACCTAGCACAGAAATGAATCTTTACATATAAAGAAGTTGTTAGATCTCTATTCAGAGTCAGTATTTACTGCTTTAGTATTTGTATATTTGCTGAGCCAAGCAGCTCCATTTGGCCACTAAGAATGTTATTATCAGGGACTACCACTGTAATCCTTCAATTTAGTGTCACAATAACAGAAATTGCTTTATCCTTGTAGTTCACCTAGCACAGAAATGAATCTTTACATATAAAGAAGTTGTTAGATCTCTATTCAGAGTCAGTATTTACTGCTTTAGTATTTGTATATTTGCTGAGCCAAGCAGCTCCATTTGGCCACTAAGAATGTTATTATCAGGGACTACCACTGA